ACCCTTCCTGAACCCTAAACCCGAAACCCTAAACCCTGAACCCTAAACCCTAAACCCTGAACCCTAAACCCTAAACCCTGAACCACAACGCTCGCAGGGCTTCGGCTGCCGCGTACCTCTAACTTTGCACAATCCCTCTTCCAGTATCACGCTTTTCTTTTTCCGGATGCCTTGCTGCAAGTGCCATCTATACCCCTTGGACGAGGCTGTTCTATCCTCGACGTCAACGAGGTTATCGGGCACTGTGCCTCTCGGCCCATCATGATTTGACAGCAGATCTAATTACACTGAGTCTACAAGGTGCTAGCCAGAGCTTCCTTCAGAGATCTAGCCGCCCTTGCGGAGGAGGACAACATGGAGGCAGCTGCTGGCCGGCGTGGTGTCGGGCGAGATTTCGCGGATCACTTTGTCTTCGTCCATGGCCTTGACGGTCCAGTTCGGCAGGTCTGCTTCGCTCCCCTGCGCCGTCATCAAGCGGGCCACGGCTTCGGCCACTGTCTCGTTCTCGTCTTCGATCTCCAGCTCGTCGGCGGGATCACCCTCGCGGACCACGGCGCGGCCGTCTGCAGCCACGCCCCCGATGCGGTGCACAGTCATGAGGAGCGCCTTCGTCTCCATCGGCGGCTGCTCGTGCACCTCCAAGGCACGGCGCGCCACGCCCTGGATCTTCTCCAGAATCTCTTTCACGGCCGCCTGACGGGGCAGCTTCTGCATCGTCTTCAAGTGCCCGAGGGTCGCGGTCATCTTCGCCAGCTCTAAGATCTCCGGCGACAGGTTATCGAGCAGCGCGACGAGCGCGTCGAGGCTCAGCCGCTTCGTCTTGTTCTGATAGTTGCGAAGGCCCTCGTCGACCTCCCGCATCATGGTTCGGATTTCTTCGACTGCCCAGCTCTTGAACGCGGCCGACTCCTGGGTTCTTGCTGCGCTAGGCGAGGGGTCGCTTTCCGGCGAGAGGCCGACAGCAAGCTCGCGGCGAGCCCTCTTCTTGGAGCCCGACGACGACCCGGAACTCTCCTGCTTCTTGTCCTTCTTGCCACGCTTCTTTTCCTTGGCGACGAAGGCAGCTTCCTCGCCGGCACTCTTTCTGGAGTTCGACGACGCTTTGCGCTTCTTGTGGCGCCTGTCCTTGCGGTCGCGCTTGCTCTTCTTGTCTGACTTGACATCCTTGCTCTTACGTCCCCTGCTGGAGCTCGACTTGCGCTTCTTCTTGTCTTTTCCCTTGGGCGGGTCCTGACCCCGAGGAGCGCGACGCGGACGTGTCCGGCTTGCTGCCGTCGCCTCGCTCGTCCTTCTTCTGCTTCTTGATCTTCTGCTGCAGCGAGCGCACCAGCATAGCCTTCAGCTTGTTCGCCTCGCCGGGATGCTTCATCCAGCTCGCTGCGTCCAGCTTCAGCTGGCCGGGAGCCTTCTCGACCTTGCGGGCGTAGATCTTGGGATTGGCCAGCAAGTCCGCCGTTTCGAGGGCGTTCATGGCCAGGAGGTAGAGGCGGGCCGAGGAGACGGCGAGGGAGGTCCGGGCCTTGCGCTCCTTGTCGCCGAGAGACTGGAATGTGTCCACGAACGTGCCCATGGCCTTCTCGATCTGCTTCTTGTCCGGCTTTCGAGTCTTGCCGATATCCAATACCTTCAAGCATTTGACGAAATCTGCCTTCTCTTTGAGGAACTTGGCGACCGACTGGTGGCCGTCAATCTTGTCCTTGACGGCTTCTGGGCCGCCCACCCGGAGCGCGGCGGCGGCCAGGGACACGGCCATGCCGGGGCGCCGCAAGTACTCGCAATTCGTGGGGTTTCGAGATTTTACGATAGCCTTCGGCTCCAGGAACTCCTCGTGGTCCACGTCGCCGGAGTAGAGGGGGTTGCCCTGCTCGTTGGGATACGGGGCAAGGGCGTGCTTCGCGAACAGCATGTACTTTGCGACGCTTTCGGTGGACTTCGTCTTCTTCTTGGCATCCTTGCCGGTGCTGACCTTGCGAGAACGAGGCGCCATGATGGGAAGCTACTTGGGGGTGTGTGCCAGCTGTAATACCAGGTGTAAGCCGAGGGCTGCGGCCGAGCATGTGTGCAGGCGTTTCGACCGTCCTATTATACTATACTCACGGGGGCGCTGGTCGCCATTGTGTGCAAGAGACAACACATGCTGCGAACGGTCTGCTCTACTGCAGAAGGCGTCCCTCGCAGCTGTTTTGGGCCGAGAGTCGAAGAGTCGCTACATGCATCCAGGCTACTTTCCATCTAATTTCTGCATGCTGGCCTCTGCCGTGCTCGCCGTCTGGTTTCTGTAGCCTGCTCGGTCGTTTGACCTCCGGGTAGGACCTTAGCGTCAGATCGATGAACCCCACCTGTCCGGCTTTTCTCTGGAAGGGCACTGCAGGATGGTAGCGACGCGGGGCCTCCATCACCCAGGCATACACACGCGCGTAGGTCACTTGCGACACATCTGAGATTCCGTGCTTGCAGTAGTTGTCTGGCCGCCCGATGAAGAGGTCGGCTTCTGCCCCGGGAACGAGGGCGCCGGCTGCATCCCGGTGGCCCACTTCGAGGCAGTCCACGAAGACCACTTCGCCAATCAGTCGCCCCGTGCCGGAGGCCGCCAAAGCGACGCGGCCGCGAATGTGCAGGCGACGACCGCGGATTTCCCAGGTTTTGCGTCCCTCCAAGATCTCTTCGGCCCACTGCTCCTTGATGTAGAGAGCACGCGCAGGAAGTCATGCCGAGCGTCAGGAAGGGACTGCGCTTCGACGTGGCGATCTGCAGAGCATGCACACGCAACAGTTGCAAAGCCCTGCTACGACTTTCTTGCTCTACTCCCTGCTCTTGCCACTGTTAGTGCTGTCGCGACGGGCACACACGACACCACGTCAGGCACATGCGTTACTGTCGCAAAGGCCATGGGAATACAACTCTTGCATAAGAGTCTTTATGAGCGACGTGTTAAGCATGCTACGGGCGTCTATGATGCCTCGGTATGTCGAGTTGCTCTTCGAGAAGTTGCTGTGACCAAGGACACGGAGACGTGTGCTTCAACCGGTAAGTCGGTTTTTCAGGCACAGCGCCGCGATGCGTTGAAGAAAAGGAGGGGTCGAAGTCTTCGGAAGGCCTTCGACCTCATCGCGGTGGGCGCAGAAGCACCCTACTGGTACTGCTTAATTTCACAGAGCTTGCGAATTCCTTACAACCACTAATCGCTCATGACTAGTACTGGTCAAATACTATTCATTAATTTACTAATACTAGTACGGAGAAACTTCGCTACTTTATCACTTTCATTAAAGAATCAACGACAAGGACTACGCCAAGAGACTCAGTCCGCTGGGTTCGCTGCGGTCGCCTCCTCGACAAGCTTGTGAGAAGTCCTCTGCCTTGGCTGCGAAGAATTCGATTATGACGTCAGGTTAATCTAGTGATTACTGTCGATACTATACTATTCATTAATTTACTAATACTAGTAGTACTAGCACTAGGCGTACTCAAAAGCAACTGCAAACTTGCGTAGGTGCGGC